CTTGACTGCTAACCAGAAGGCTGGTGGTTCAAACCCACCAGCCACTCCTCGGAAGGAAGGTTGGGCAATCCTACTTCCATAGTGATACTGCCACGGAAACCCAAGGAGGGGTCACTAGGGGTCACTAGGGGTCACTATGAGTCAGGGCTGACTCGACGGCACATAACAACAACATTTACTGTATGTTCTTTTGTTACTTTTGAATTTGAGCATCATGTGAATGCATTACTTAGTTTAAATAAAAGTTAAAGTATTTAAATTACAAAAAGAGAGTCTGTCCTTAGTTAAATAAAAGTACCTTATCCTTTCTATCCTATTCTTACTTTTGACACACTTTATCTACATCCCTGAACAGCCATATCTAATCAGATTCTTCCATTCTGTTCAAATATTTGTAGTCGATTTATACTACTACCTCCAAGAAGCAAACAACAAAAATGTCTTTACCAATTTTAGTAGTATTGGAAAATTCCAGGGAATTTGAGAAAATATATCTTATACAGTATTGAAGCATATTATAGAAATAAATTTATCGACATATGAAATTACATGGAATTTGGCCTGCTTAAAAAAGTATATTATACTACAATTTTTTGAATATAAAACAGGAGAAAAGTAGAAGGAATTAGAATTGTTCTTATTTTCTTTTTTGGTATTTAAATGTTTAGCAATATTCTAAAAATAATACATGAATAAATGCCCATAAAACATTAAAAACAAATATACAAATATACTTCTGTTTGTTTGTTTACTTAAACAAATGGACCCTGCAAAGCTTGTTATCCTGTGACTTGTCCTTACTGCTTAACAATAAATATTGGACAATATTCCTTTGAAACAGACTTCTCACTTGAGCTAATCAGTAAAACACATTAAAAGAAAAGGAATTAGCTTTAGCTACCATATAAAATTGTCTAAAATCTTTACTATTTAGTGAAGAATATGTACTTTACTAAGTTACTTGAGGCTGGGGTCCTATCTTCTGATGGAGTAAAGAACCAGCCCTGGATAATACTTCTACTCTAGAGCAGCCATTCTTAAATGCTTTAGGTTATCTGTCCCTTTAAGAAATTGTTGAAAGTTATAGATTCTCTAGTCGGAAAAGCTTCAGGCACATAATTTTGCATATTTTGGGATTTTAGGACTCTGTAAAGTTCTTAAGGAATCCCTGGATGGTGCAAAAGGTTAAAATGCTCAGCTACTTATCAAAAGGTTGCAAGTTTGAGTCCCCTACCTCAGAAAGATCTGGCAAAAATCTACTTCCAAAAAGTCAGCCATGGAATATGCTGTGGAGCACATTTCTACTCTAACACACAACGAGTTGCCATGAGTTAGAGTCAAATTGATAGTACCTGGCTTTCTTGGTTTATAAATGGAAACGTCTATCTCCATTGAACGTATGTTTCATGAATTGCTACTCTGGCAGGATTTGGATGCAGAAACTGTCCTTACTTATTGTTACTGGGAATTTCTTCCCCTACCTTAATCCATTTCCCCTAGTCATTGTGAGCACATGCAAGTGGCCTAACTCTTTTCCTCCCACATCAAAATTCTGGATCCATCTGCTGGCTTTGTTACAGTATTGGTTTGTGATGAGCTCTGTAATGACTGTATAGGGCAAGCAACTAGAGGGCTATGGAGGGGAGGAGAAGAAGAAAAAGATGGGAATCCAATCCAGTCTCCACTTCTTACTTACTTTCCCTTACAGCACAGATCTTGCATATGATTGTGCATACAAGTGGAAGACAGAAGAGAAGAAGGGAAAACCTGTTTCTAAGTTACGAAATGGCTTTGGTTGAATTATCCAAAACTTTGTTCAAAATGAGGTAGGCAACTTGGATAAATGCTATTCTGATCACCATACCTTAACAAAGCATTTAAGAGTTGAACAAAAGGATACCCCAACATCACCAATACTCCAATTGTCCTTCAGGGCTGCTCCAGCATACATCAGCTCCAGGTACCGCCTGCCTTGTTTGTCTTCAGAGAGAGGAATGTGGAAATAATCCTTAAAAAGCAATAGCATATTATGAAAACAGTACATCTCTACATTACAAGACCAACAATATAACCCCTTATGTTTTACATATTTTGGGACAAAGCATAATTTTGGGGGACAAAGGGAAGAAGAGTTAGACAAGGGCTCTGTCTTAGTTATCTAGTGCTGCTCTAAGAGAAATACAAGTGTGTGGCTTTAACAAATAGAATTTTATTCTCTCACAGTTTAGGAGCTAGAAGTCTGAATTCAGAGCACCAGCTCTAGGGGAAGGCTTTCTCTCTGTGTTGGCTCTGGAGGAAGGTCCTTGTCTTCTTTTAACATCTGTGGGCTTGGCATCCATTGGAGATCTCCATGTGTCTTGGCTTTAGTCTTTCCCTGAGTCTAGGAGGTTCTCAGTGCAAGGACTCCAGTTCCAAAGGACATGTTCCACTCCTAGCTCTTATTTCTTGGAGGTACTGAGGTCCTGCCTTCTCTGCTGGCTTCTCTCTCCTTCTATCTTTATTTTATGTAAGCCACAACCCATAGGAACTCCCTTTACATCAGAGCTATGACCTGAGTAAAGGTATTGCATCCCACCCTAATTCCCTTAACAACTGATGGACTTATCACATCAGATCACACCATGGAAGATGATTGTATCATTACATATTTGCCAAACTATTGAGAATCATGGCCCAGCAAAGCTGACCAATATTTTGGAAGGACAGAATCTATGACTGACCCTTAACTTGGAAGTCTAGAGACCTCCCAAAAATTCAATAGATAGAATTTAACTAACTAACTCACTGCTGTCGAGTCAGATCCAACTCACAATGACCCCTTCTTGGGTTTCTGAGGCAGTATCTCTATGGAAGTAGATTGCCCAATCTTCCTTCTGAGGAGTGACTGGTGGGTTTGAACTACCACCTTTCTGGTTAGCAGTCAAATGCCTTAAGAACTATGCCACCAGAGCTCCCAGATAGAATTTAGATGGGTAAAATTTTTTTTTTACTTTCATCATCTCTAAATTAAATAGAGATTTCCTCCAATGATTCATGTAGACAACAAACCAAAGGAGGAATAGTCAGTTATGCCTCTGACTTTGTTGCCAATAGAATCACAGATATTTTTGTATCACATTACAGTTGATGCAGATATCTCAAAATATTGTTTATACTGATCACTACTTTGAAATTACAGTAGTTATTAGATACACTGCTAGAACTTATTAGTTGATGTGTTAATAAAGAAGCTCATACATTACTATATCACACATTTGTATTTTAGTATTTGAAAACTGTAAGCTCTGGTAGCGTAATGCCTAAGGCACTTGACTGCTAACCAGAAGGCTGGTGGTTCAAATCCACCAATCACACCTCAGAAGTAAAATGGGGCAATCTACTTCCATAGTGACACTGCCTCGGAAACCCAAGGAAGGGTCGCTATGAGTCGGTCTGACTCGACGGCACATAACAACAACAACAACATTTGAAAACTGTATTTCAATAAAACTGGCTTGCTTTTCACCCTATGTATTTTATTTTATGCATTCAAAGACAATCTTAGAAGGAGCTCATAGGCTTCACAAACTGGTAAAGGTATTTGTGGCACGTAAAGGTGAAGATGCTGTGTGCTAGAAGACCTAGATTTCAGTGATCACAGTACTCTACTGAATATCACATAACTGGGTTTCAGTGAATTCTTCACAGACAGAAATGACTTCCTGAGCCAGGTTAAATGCAATTTTATGATCAAGAGTCAAATATTTGGCTTAATTCCCCATGTTAGAGTAAATATAAGCAATATATAATGAAGATAAAAAACCAAACTCACTGCTGTCGAGTCAGGTCCGACTCACAGTGACCCGCCTTGGGTTTCTAAGAGGATATCACTGCGGAAGTAGATTGCCCAACCTTCCTTCCAAAGAGTGGCTGGTGGGTTTGAACCACCAGCCTTCTGGTTAGCAGTCAAATGCCTTAGGCACTATGCCACCAGAGCTCCTATAATGAAGATACTACACTCAAATTATTTATTTTCCTGGTTCTGTGATCTAGGTATGATGGTCAATCTCTGAGCTGTAACAAAGCCATGGCTCAGAAACTCTCTAAAGTCCACTGCCACTCCCAAGCCCTTTGGTTCTTTTCATTTGCTTGTTCACCAAGCAAAGCACTGATCTGAAGACAAACACAGTCCACTTATACAACCTAGAGTTAGAATCTTGTTTTTGTCCTTTAATGAAGAATTGCAGTAATATTACCTGACCCATGCACAACCCACAAGTTTCCCAAAGAAGATTGAAACTTTTTTCTCCTGAGAAGTTACTGGCTTAGTTAGTTTCCCATCTAATACCTCCATAGTTACTATCTTCATATCAAGCTATCATGTAAGCAGATCATTATATTTTCAAAGAGTTTTAGTTTCCTGTTGTTGTTAGGTGCTGTAAAGTTAGTTTTTGACTCGTAATAATAGATCTGATAGTATCTCTACGCCATGTACATTTTTAACTTTGCTAGAGAGTTAAAATTAACACACATCTTATTGGCTCAAAGACAAAGTACATACCTTTATCATCAGCTTAACAGCCTCCACAGTTTCATTAGCTGAAACATCAAATGGCTCAAAAGATCCCTCAAAGGCTATGAAAATCCTCATTGTGCAATTGTCTTCTCAAGAAACTCCTTTTTCAAAGATGCTGATGGAGTGTTGGAAATATTCCAATTTAAGGACAAAAATGACAACCAGAGACGGCTCTCACTGTCACTGCCAAAGGTGAGGTGAGAAGATATGAGGAGATGAGACCTGTAATATTACAGTCTTGGACAACACAGACAGCAGCTATGCTGTAGCAAATGTTTCTCTGATTGAAGGCAGCAGTCAACAGCCACCTTGTTCCTATATTATGGAAACCAGCAACCTTGACACTGGTTGAGGCAAGTGTGAACAAGCTTCAAATATGTAACACAAGAATGCCACACCTAAATTACACTTTCATGATGTGACCACCACCCACTGACTCTTGAGTCCGTATTCAATCAAGTATAGCTAACTGAAGGACTCTCCAAAATAGATATTTGATTGGGATGCACTGGCACAGAGTGAAGCAAAACAGAGCTGATTTTATTGAATGCGGTAATCCTGAAAGTTCTCTGTAAATAACTGAGCCAATGTATTCTGGTTTCCATAACAACTCTGTGTACTGGTTTCTCAGCAGTATTTCTAATCCTGCCATGGGGTACAGAACAATATCCATTTGCACCAAGGAGATGCCTCTGTCGGCAAATGACTCTGTGGCTTTCCCTTCCCATCTCTGAGTAATGGAATCTGCTGAGTAGTAACGTAATATAGTTAGTGTTTCTTTCAGTCCTTGCCTTTATGCTATTTAGAACAATTTACCATTGTTATCTCCTTCAGTCTCCCTTAGTGTTGGTGGAAAATATTTCAAACCCCACTCGGTAAGCGAGCAAAGATATTAAGCACCATTACTCAAACTTACAGAAAAAGCATTTTACTGGAACTTAATTCTAAATTCTCCTCTGAAATCTCTACATGATACACTTGATCATTTTTTCATATATGTAAATCTTGTCTTCTCCCTGAAATTTCTACTGATCTGGGGCAGAGTTCTCATTTTGCATTTCTTTTCATCCTTCTTTTTAAAAATTAAAAAAAAATGTGTCCATCCATTTAGCCATTTTTAAGTGTACAACTCAGTGGCATTAATAATATTCGCCAGGTTGTGCTATCACTGCTACTTGTTTTCAAAAGGTTTTCATCATCTCAAACAAAAACTCAGTACTCCTTCAGCAATAACTCTCATTCCTTCCTACCCTCAACCACTAATAAACTTTTGTTTCTATGCATTTGACTATTTTAGACCTTTTATATAGGTGAAATTATATAATATTTGTCCTTTTGTGTCTGGCTTATGTCACTCAGTGTAATGCTTTCAAGGTTATCAGTGTCATAGCATATATCAGAACTCCATTTCCCTTTAAGGCTGAATGATATTCCATCTTAGGGATATACCACATTTTGTTTATCCACTCATCTACTGAACACTTGGGAGTTCTGGTAGCATAGTGCCTAAGGCACTTGACTGCTAACCAGAAGGCTGGCGGTTCAAACCCACCAGCCACTCCTCGGAAGGAAGGTTGGGCAATCCTACTTCCGTAGTGATACTGCCTCGGAAACCCAAGGAGGGGTCGCTATGAGTCAGGGCTGACTCGACGGCAAATAACAACAACAACAACTGAACACTTGGGTTGTTTTCAAATTTTGGCTAATATGAATAATGCTGCAAAGAACACTGGTGTACAAGTATCTGTTTGAGTCCCTGCTTTCAAGTCTCTTGGTCATATATCTAGGAGTAGAATTGCTGGGCCATATGGTAATCCTATGTTTAACTTGTTGAGGAACTGCCAAACTGTTTCTCACAGCTTGTTTTATTCTTAACAATACCTAGTACAATGTAAGTCATATGATATGTGCTCAGTAAATCTTAACCTGTTGATTGATTCTCTTCTGATTTCTAACCATAGTAAATTTTAGAGAACAAAATATAAAAAGGGCAAAGGATTTCATTGCAAATTTACTTCTTATGTCTCATCTTTTTCTAATGCATTGCAACATAATTATATCTTCTTATTCTGTCAATATTTTTATAGAAATCTTATTAATGTAGGATGTTGCTGATGTACCTTGCCCAGCACCACTCAAGTGCTGTAACTATTAGCTGCACCTATTTCTTCAAAGAATTGTCCTCAGTTGATGGGAGTCACCTTACCAGAAGAAGTTAGGCACCTCTGTTGATGACTGACTGCTAAGGTACTAATAAAGGGTGACTCTTTTACCTTAACAGGGACAACTCTGCAGATGATCTCTATAGATCAGGCCATGTCTGGCCTTTGCTTGAGACTATGTCCTTGGTTGTTGCATTCCTGTTTTCAATCCTTCTTACCTCTGCCCGCTACCTGTTCATCCTGAAAAGGAAATAATTGATTTCCATGCAAATCTTTGTCTCTGGGAACCAAACCAAAGACAGAGGATCTTAAAGAAGCATAAAATATCATAACCAAGTGATTTGTAGCTTCCTGAACTGCATGTTTATTTACACATCTGTATTTTTGTACACTGTAGTTCTGGTGACATAATGCCTAAGGCATTTGACTGCTAACCAGAAGGTTGGCAGTTCAAACCCACTAGCCACTATATGGAAGGAAGACTGGACAATCTACTTCCATAAAGATTTACCACCTTGGAAACCCAAAAGGGGTCACTATGAGTCAGAATCGACTCAATGGCAGTGAGTTTTGGTAGGAGGCTTTCTTTTTGGAATAAATGCCCAACTCATATGATGTGCTTAAGTAGCTGATCTCTACCCTCATGACCTATCAGCCATGTTTGTAATGTGACCTTACTCTCATGGTCACAGTTGATTGGATCACAATGGAGCAGTCAGAATCCTTTCTTCTTGGACTGAAGAAAATATGTCTTTGTGCCTGGAATTAGAACATACAATGGAACTGTGGGTGGGAATAGAAACAAGTTTTAAAAAGGGATGCAGATAACATACTACACAAAACATTGTTCCACCTCCTACTTTTGTGAGTAGCGACTGGGATCTTAAAAGCTAGCAAACTGCCATCTAGATGCAATGATGGGTCTCTCCTCATCCAGAACAAAGAAGAATGAAGAAAATAAAAAATTCATGGAAACAATTAGTCCTAGCAACTGGTACACCATCTGATCATAGCCTATATGACTCTGAGACCAGAAGAACTAGATGGTGCCCAGCTACCACTGTCAACCACTTGGAGGGGGATCTATATAGGAGATCCTGAATAGAGAGGGAGAACAATGTGAAACAAAACTCAAAATCATTTGGAGAAAAAAAAAGGGGGGGGGGACCAGGTTTGCTGGTCCAATAGAGCCTCGTGGAACCACTGAGACTATGGCCCCTTGCTGCCTTTCAGGTCTGAAATTGAGCCCATACCTGTGGCTTCCACTCAAACAAAAGACAGGCATATGAGTTGAACATTTACCTGAGGTAGATACACTCCTTGGAGAGAACAATCATGGGAGAAAGAAAGGCTGATTATGCACAGGGAGACAGCTCAGGGGGCAGGAGTGCATGGAGGGATGACACAGGAAAGAGGTAACTATGGGGAGGAAGTGGGAGGAGAGCTGTTTCATTGTGGTAAATTGTGATCAATGTCATGAGACAAGGTGTATATGAACTGCTGTATGGAAAGTGAATTTGCTCTGTAAATTTTCACCCAAATCACAATTAAAAAAAAAAAAAGGGGATGTAGAATTCTTGATTTTCAATGTTCTTCCTTATATTATTCCTGGTTCTATTTTTTTTTTTCAAGATACAGTTTTCATTTTTAAAAGCAATCTATTATTATTTTATCTTAAAAAGCAATCATGCAGGTTTAGGTAATACTAAAACACCTAGCTGCTGCTGCTGTTGTTGTTATGTGCTGTCGAGTCATCTCCAACTCATAGCAACTTTATGTACAACAGAACAAAACACTGCCTGGTCCTGTGCCAGCCTCACGATCTCTGCTATACATGAGCCCATCGCTGTAGCCACTGTGTCAATACATCTTGTTAAGGGCCTTCTCCTCCTTTGTTGACCCTCCACTTTACAAAGCATGACATCCTTCTGCAGAGAATGGTCCCTTCTGACAACATGACCAAAGTAGGTGAGACAAAGTCTGGCCATTCTTGCTTCCAAGGAGCATTCCAGCTGCACTTATTCCAGGACAGATTTGTTAGTTCATTTAGCAGTCCATGGTACTTTTGGCATTCTTCACCAACGCAACTCAAAAGTATCAACTCTTCTTCACTCTTCCTTATTCATTCTCCAGCTCTCACATGCATATGAGGTGATTGAAAGTACCATGGCTTGGGTTAGGAACATCTTCGTCTTCAAGGAGACATCTTTGCTCCTCAGCACTTGAGAGAGGTCTTTTGCAACAAATTTGCCCATTGCAATACGTCTTTTGATGTACTGACTGCTGCTTCCATTGGTGTTGATTATAGAACCAAGTAATATGAAATCTTTGACAACTTCAATCTTTTGTCCATCTATCGTGGTGCTGCTTATTTGTCCAGTTGTGAGGATTTTTGTTTTCTTTATATTGAGGTGTAATCCATATGTATGTTGGGTTAAATATAATACATCTTGTTAAATGCACACCAGAGCTTGTAAGAAAGTAAGGAATATATCTTTGGTCAAAAAAAAAGAAAACTAAAAATCAGACTATAGTTTCTTGAATTTGCTGTTAGCAAAGAAAAACGTGAAAGTAACCAATAAATGAATGAAGTCAGATTTCACCTGTAAAAGGAACAGATTATCTAAAAATTTGGTCTGGGGATCAGCAGCAATATTACCACTTGGGTGCTTATTGGAAATGCAGAATTTCAGTCCTCACCCCAGACCTACTGAATCAGAATCTGCATTTTAACAAGTTTCCCAGGTGTTCTTATAAATAATACAGTTTGAGAAGTACTGGTCTACACAATGCCATGGTCTGTGGGATACTAGGAAGGCCTCTCTTCATGGTTAAGTTTTTCCACTCATTTATTCATTTCATTACCTGAAATTTAATTTTCACTTAAGGTGTTGTGATTTCAGAAGCTGTCTTTAACAAGGCTAATATTCTTCTTGTATCCCTTGTTACCCTCCCGAGAGGGACCGGGTCTCCGGGAGCAAGGT